ATGGTGCTTGGAGTAACCCATTGAGAAAGAGTGGGCTCCATTAATACAAACATCTGAGATCTGAGTTCCCCGACTTTGATGTGTGATCAGATACTGTGGCACACTCTAGTAATAAAATATGGGGCTTAGTATTAATAGACTGACTGCAGCTGCTTAGTATGGAAACAGAAACTACAAAACTCATCTAAGATACCATATTCCTAAGTGTACTTTTCTGTCCAAAGATATTCGAGAATCAATTTAAACGCCTTCAAGTCTCATTGACCAGGAAGAGCCCGATGCTAACAGGAGACCAGACAGGTGAGAACTAACTTGAATCCAATGATTGGAGTGCGCCATCTTGGGCTCTCCGTGTCTTGCAGGGGATAATGGGTTGTTGGTCTCTCCGTGTCTTGCAGGGCATGATGGGTTGTTGGACTCTCCGTGTCTTGCAGGGGATGATGGGCTCTCCGTGTCTTGCAGGGGATGATGGGCTCTCTGTGTCTTGCAGGGGATGATGGGTTGTTGGGCTCTCCGTGTCTTGCAGGGGATGATGGATTGTTGGACTCTCCGTGTCTTGAAGGGGATGATGGGCTCTCTGTGTCTTGCAGGAGATGATGGGTTGTTGGGCTCTCCGTGTCTTGCAGGGGATGATGGCTTGTTGGGCTCTCCGTTTCTTGCAGGGGATGATGGCTTGTTGGGCTCTCTGTGTCTTGCAGGGGATGATGGGTTGTTGGGCTCTCCGTTTCTTGCAGGGGATGATGGGTTGTTGGGCTCTCCGTGTCTTGCAGGGGATGATGGGTTGTTGGACTCTCCTGGTCTTGCAGGAGATGATGGGTTGTTGGGCTCTTGGTGTCTTGCAGGGGATGATGGGTTGTTGGGCTCTCCGTGTTTTGCAGGGGATGACGGCTTGTTGGGCTCTCCGTGTCTTGCAGGGGATGATGGCTTGTTGGGCTCTCCATGTCTTGCAGGGGATGATGGGTTGTTGGGCTCTCCGTGTCTTGCAGGGGATGATGGGTTGTTGGGCTCTCCGTTTCTTGCAGGGGATGATGGGCTCTCTGTGTCTTGCAAGAGATGATGGGTTGTTGGACTCTCCGTGTCTTGCAGGAGATGATGTGTTGTTGGGCTCTTGGTGTCTTGCAGGGGATGATGGGTTGTTGGACTCTATGTGTCTTGTAGGAGATGATGGGTTGTTGGGCTCTACGTATATTGCAGGGGATGATGGGTTGTTGGACTCTCCGTGTCTTGCAGGAGATAATGGGTTGTTGGGCTCTCCGTGTCTTGCAGGAAATGATGGGTTGTTGGGCTCTCCGTGTCTTGCAGGGGTTGATGGGTTGTTGGACTCTCTGTGTCTTGCGGGGATGATGGGCTCTCCGTGATGGGTTGTTGCACTCTCCAGTGTCTTGCAGGGGATGATGGGCTCTTTGTGTCTTGCAGGGGATGATGGGCTCTCCGTGTCTTGCAGGGGATGATGGGTTGTTGGGCTCTCCGAGTCTTGCAGGGGATGATGGGTTGTTGAGCTGTCTGTGTCCTATTTCCAGTGGACGTTGGGTTGTTACATCCAACTATGGCAGGGATAGGCTACCTTCGGCATTCCAGAAGTTGTGGACTACATCTCCCCTGATGCCTTTTTAGTATTATGTCTGTAAGAAAATTATGGGAGATTTAGTCTGTAACATCTGGAAGGTTGCACACCCCTGGACTATGGTGAACCTTACTGTAACTGAGAATTTGCCCTGTATCATGGCTTTATGTGAGTTTCATTGAAATAATTTATAATCCAGATTTTTGCTCACTGAACTCCCTACTGGCAAGGGGGGTCCCTCCTGATTTCTCATGTCTTTTTTGCAGTTTGGAGGAAGTGACAGAGAGTTTTGGGATGTTTTTGGTTAGGAGGGAAGAATAGCTAAGATATGATTGAGTGATTGGGTAGGTTTAGGGAATAGGATGAGAGATAGGTTATTGGGTAGGTTTAGGGAAAAGGATGAGAGGTAGGTGATCGATAGGTCTAGTTAATAGGATAAGAGGTAGGTGATTGATAGGTTTAGGGAATAGGAGGAGAGGAAGGTGATCAATAGGTTTAGGGAATAGGAGGAGAGGTCGATAGGTTTATGGAGGAGGAGGAGAGCTAGGTGATTGGGTAGGTTTAGGGAGTAGGAGGAGAGCTAGGTGATTGGGTAGGTTTAGGGAGTAGGAGGAGAGGTAGGTGATTGGGTAGGTTTAGGGAGTAGGAGGAGAGGTAGGTGATTGGGTAGGTTTAGGGAATTGGCGCAGGAGAGGGGGGATTGTCAGCTGTAACAGACTGAAGTAGGTTTTGGAACTCCTGTTTACATCCCTTTGCTCCTCACAGTGAGCAGTAATGCCAGGATAGACGTTGGTTAGGATCAGTGACAGTTGGTGAAGATTACAGGTAGTGGATGCTAGATACTACCCAGGGAGTTTGGGTTTCAGTCTCAACATGACTATATGCACAGTCTCTCAGCAGCTTCTCAGCCATCATACACTCACACTTATCAATAGATTTCACTTTATTGCAACACAAACAGGAGCGCACTGCCTCTGCTGTCCCCAGGAAAGGACTACCAAAGGGTGCTGGTTGTATGGGTACTGCCTAGTCCAAGGCTGGCACCTTCCCATGGGTATAACAGTGGGTTGTTTATTTATAATTAGCAGGGTCTGGAATGACAGCAGAAGAAACATGTTTTGTTATCACTGGACTCAGTCATGAGGACATTAAAGATGCAAAGTCTTGGCTGATGAACACGATGCAGGACTCCGAGGCCATACGAATTGAAGATAACCATTTACTGCGCTGTGGGAAACGGGAGCACGATATGTTTAGTGAGCTGTCTGGAGTTGAGATCACTGAGAACCTGTGGGATGGAACGGCCTCGCTGAAGATTAGTGGACGCTCGGAGGAGACAATAAGGGCAGCGGTTCTGGTGGAACGGATTCTAATAAAGGTTCAGGAGGAATGTGCTCTAGGGATGGAAGAGGAGCTTTTCCAGAGCGCAGTGCAGTGGTTCTTCGAGAAGAGGAATCAGAAATACCCATACCCAGCGAGAGCCAACGTACAGATCGAGAAAGCGTTTCTGTCTAAAAGGGGCCAGCTCGAAGTTCAGGAACCCTTGCATCAGGTGGATCTACAATCCATGTCAGCAGCATCTTCAGATGACATGTTTCAACTCCACAGAGAGAGTAAGTAGGAGGATGAAGCTGGGTTTTAATACCCCTTAGCACTGAGAATGTAAAATGTTACAATGCATTATATAATAGATGTTATAATACAGCCATGATATGTTATAACACTCCCTTAGATGACATGTAGAGAGATCGAATGAATCTCTGGTAATAGAATTAGATTGTTTGCAGGTTTAACTAGCAATGCTGAAGCACAGGGAGAGGTAAGTGGGGTTTTATGAGTTAAACGGCGTGTCACTGGGAATGAAGGGGTTAAAACACATTGATCATTTATGGCTGCTTTCTACTTTCAGACTTTTTAACACACGATTACTTGAAAGATGTTGGGAGCTCCCACAATGCACTGTTTCTGGTTACCGACGTGATCCGAGAAAGCCAGGAGTTTATCGACAGGAAGAGGGAGTTTGACAAAGCGAACCTCACTATTGTCCAGGTAAAGGGGGATCATTGAGTGAATGTGCTATAAACACCGGGCTAGAATAAACTAGGGTCAGTGCTGTGGGTTTTGTGCCTGGATGGCATTTAGTTTTTGCGATATCGAGCGGATTGTGTTTGTATTTTCAGGAGCTGCCAGATATGGCATCTGGCCTGTTTCACTGCTAGGCTCCGCCCCCCCATTACAGTTTATTGGAGTGCTGGGACTAGGTAAACTGGTTACTGGTGCATCTGATGAGGGGGGCTTTTTCCATGAAAACCCCAGGTTTTTATATTTATTTATTTATAACTGAAATCAGGGAAACATCACCAAAACTTCACCCAGAGTTTCTAGGCACCATAACTACTTCAGTGGTCACTGTCTGTATCCGCACTGGATTGCCATGATTAGATTCAGTCCTATTTATTAAATAAACATGATGAGCTCTTACCCACAAAGGGTTAATTTCCACATTGTCTGTGTCTGTTTTAGATGGAAAAAATACAGAATAAATTCTTGGCAGCGATTTATAAATCTAAAAAGGATGTGGTGCAGGCAAAGGGTGTATCACAGCCCCTTCACAGACTGTACCAGCGAGTCCCGGGCAAATACCGCAAGCTGATCTGTCGTACTGGCTTCCACAGACTGTATTCATCTGGAGAGGGTGAGTGCACACAGTCTGAGTGTGAGCTCACTGGCCAGGCTGCATGGAGTGAGTGCAGACAGTCTGAGTGTGTGCTCACTGGACAGGCTGCATGGAGTGAGTGAGTGCACACACACAGTCTGAGTGTGTGCTCACTGGCTAGGCTGCATGGAGTGAGTGAGTGCACACAGTCTGAGTGTGTGCTCACTGGACAGGCTGCATGGAGTGAGTGAGTGCACACACACAGTCTGAGTGTGTGCTCACTGGCTAGGCTGCATGGAGTGAGTGAGTGCACACAGTCTGAGTGTGTGCTCACTGGACAGGCTGCATGGAGTGAGTGAGTGCACACACACAGTCTGAGTGTGTGCTCACTGGCTAGGCTGCATGGAGTGAGTGAGTGCACACAGTCTGAGTGTGTGCTCACTGGACAGGCTGCATGGAGTGAGTGAGTGCACACACACAGTCTGAGTGTGTGCTCACTGGCTAGGCTGCATGGAGTGAGTGAGTGCAGACAGTCTGGGTGTGTGCTCACTGGCCCGGATGCATGGAGTGAGTGCAGACAGTCTGAGTGTGAGCTCACTGGCCAGGCTGCATGGAGTGAGTGAGTGCAGACAGTCTGGGTGTGAGCTCACTGGCCAGGCTGCATGGAGTGAGTGAGTGCAGACAGTCTGGGTGTGAGCTCACTGGCCAGGCTGCATGGAGTGAGTGAGTGCAGACAGTGAGTGTGTGCTCACTGGCCCGGCTGCATGGAGTGACTGAGTGCAGACAGTCTGATAGTGTGCTCACTGGCCCGGCTGCATGGAGTGAGTGAGTGCAGACAGTCTGAGTGTGAGCTCACTGGCCAGGCTGCATGGAGTGAGTGAGTGCAGACAGTCTGAGTGTGTGCTCACTGGCCAGGCTGCATGGAGTGAGTGAGTGCAGACAGTCTGAGTGTGTGCTCACTGGCTAGGCTGCATGGAGTAAGTGAGTGCAGACAGTTTGAGTGTGTGCTCACTAGCCAGGCTGCTCACTGGCCAGGCTGCATGGAGTGTGTGAGTGCAGACAGTCTGATAGTGTGCTCACTGGTCAGGCTGCATGGAGTGAGTGAGTGCAGACAGTCTGAGTGTGTGTGCTCACTGGTCAGGCTGCATGGAGTGACTGAGTGCAGACAGTCTGGGTGTGAGCTCACTGGCCAGGCTGCATGGAGTGAGTGCAGACAGTCTGAGTGTCTGCTCACCAGCCAGGCTGCATGGAGTGAGTGAGTGCAGACAATCTAAGTGTGTGCTTGTAACGGCACCCCCAGGCATAAAATGGTTAAACCGCCGTTTAGAAGATCTTCCCCTTCC